AAACTCAGGGCACAAGTACTTCTTGGATTCTGGAGAGATCTTTAAGTTACTAGGGCAAAGTAATAGAATTTTGAAAGGCTGCCAAATCAATTTAGTGTAAAGCAGAGTTACAAACCTAGTGTAAAGCAGAGTCACTCTCTTTCTCCTCCCCTGGACTAAGGATTCTTCTCTGTAATGGTCCTGTTCCCTCCTGTAATGCTTTGGCTCTGTTCTCCATGTTCCCAGGATCTGCCCATCCTTCCATCACAGATAGCAACAGTAGAAGAACATGACTGCCCCTCAGTCTCCTCCTGGCATGTGAACTTCCCCCTCACCGAGTTTCCCGTGGTGTGGCAGTGAAGGCTGCACTAGGTGGACCTGGAGCTGAATCTAGCATGGCTCTGCCGAAGTTCTTCAGGTCTTCGTTCCAGAAGCCATCGTTCCAGATGTAGCATACATAGCACCCACGAGATTGTTTAATTATCCCTTCTTTAGGCAAACGGTCATGATTAATTAAACTTGCAGCCTTAACAAAATTAATTTAGGACTTTTCCCCCTTGTACAGGATGTGTTGGCATCCCCTTTATTGTTTTAGGCCGCTGCAGTCTCCTCTTTAGATAGGACATTAATCTAGCCTGGAAAAAATGTCAGTGCTTATAGCCTTATAAATCACACTAGATAGGAAAATATTTTCATTGATCCTCCAGTCCATTTCTTTGATGGGAGGAAACCATGGTGACCTCTCCCCAGTTAGATCATCCTTCCTCGCACTCACTCTGATGTGAGACAGGCCAGCATTTGATTCTTGCTTTCCTAAAGATCCACGAAAAGTTGTTTATTCTTTGCTGGTGGTGTTATTCATCTGCCTTGAAGAATGTTTAGTTTGTAGCCGTGAGAACTTTTTTTTATTTTGCCAGAATCTGGTTTTCTGCCTTCCTAAATAAAGAACCCCAGATTATGCCCATAAACTCATTAAGCTATATGTCTTTCAGCCTCATCTACCCCTTTGAAGTGAGGGAAAAAATTGTCCTAAGTCAATTTACAAGGTGTTGTAAAGTTTCTAGACAAACTGTTGAGAGTAGATTGATATTACAGTCCTATAGATTTATTAAGCTCAGTTTATTTTTTATGGTAAAAATCCTAGAATGGAGGTACAATAAGATTAAGAGAATAAAATCATACGAAATTACAGAAAGCAGTAGAAGCGGCAACAGATTAAAAAAATAGAGAGAGAGAAGAAAAACAAGAATAATAGCAAAACCAAAAAACGCAGAGGCACAAAGGAAATAGCCCTGGTGAACAAGTAAGACTTTGATTGTCTCAGTCCAATCCAGGACCGAACACAATGGAAATTCCTTTTTATAGAAATTCTGAGGCATGTCTATCAGCCCCACTAGGTAGGCCAGACCAGGAAATCAACTCAACAGGAAGACAAGAATTCTGCTTTATTGAGATAATCTGTAATAACAGAATCCTGCAAGTCGTCCTCCTCCTTCTTATACCCAGTGAATCAGGGCAACATCTGCCTGAGCCACTTCTGAATGTTATTTCATTGTTCTGGACTTTCAAAATGCTTCATCCTCTTTTGCCTAGGCAATGGGTCCTGCATATTTGTGTCAAGGTCATCTTCCCTACTCCCTCCAACGTCCCATTAAGTTCAGTGGGAGCTTCCTTCAAACAGCAAGGCTAGGTTTGTGTCCTTCTTGATTTTCCACTTCCGAAGAAGTGTGAATATCAAACTGAACACTGCCACAAGGTTTGTTGGGTAAACATTGAAAAGATTTCATTTTAAATCCAGAAGTACACATTTATAGGCAAGCTGCAATGATCAATTATGCCTTCATTCTCCTTTTGGGGCACAGGCTATTACAGGGATGGCCATAGACAATCATTTGCTGGGACTGCGAGAGATGGCCCGGGAAAACTTTGAAGAGCTGCCAGACCTCTTCACAGATGAAACATATTTGGCAAGCAATCAATTCATTCTCTCTACCAGCCAGGTGAGTGAAATTTTACTGGGATTGATCAGAGGAAAGAATCTCTATTACTCTCCCTGTGACAGACCTTATGAATCAGTGACAACTTGTGATGAACCTGGTAGAAAGAGAAGCAAATATGTGTAGCTCAGGGTTGAACTGTGGAGTCCTTGGAGTTCTCTGAGCTTGGTTGTTTTCTTGCAAACATTTCATTACCCACCTAGGTAACATAAAGAGAAGCAAATATGTGTAGCTCAGGGTTGAACTGTGGAGTCCTTGGAGTTCTCTGAGCTTGGTTGTTTTCTTGCAAACATTTCATTACCCACCTAGGTAACATCTTCAGTGCTAGAATGGAATGGGGTTTGCTCTCTGTTTATAAATGTATGTATGTAGATGACATCTTTGTTATAATAAAAAAGGAACAACTAGAGAAGAGACATGAAACCATCAACAACATCTTCGAAGGAATAAAATTCACCA